AAGACACGCAAAAACAAAACGCCCCCTCTCCCACACAAAACAAACAAACAAATATACACGTACACACAAAACAAAAACAAACAAAATTATGTACACACAAAACAAACAACGAAGTACATAATATGTACTGGTAAGCGCCGGCGACAAGTCCTATCCACTAAGCATCGGCTAGACGGGACAGGACGGGATTACAGATCAATCAATATGTAGGCAGGCTGGGAGGGCGACACAAACATACGAGGACAAGGGGTCAAACAGACAGACAGACGAAACAAATTATCCAGGTCGATGAACCGATCCATCGATCTTCTCAGAGATCGGCCCGCGGGGATCAAACTCAAACACGCCTATCATCACTTCGTCTTTTTGTTTGGGGTGAGTTACGACTAGGATCCCTGATGGATTTTGAAAAGTATTTTTTTTAGTAGAGGTTTTACGGCGCTCGCAACTGCATAAGGTAGGTCATAATATGAGCGCCAAGGGGTGGATGTCTACAGAGAAATCTTTCCAGGGAATTGGGCTTACTCTGCTCACCTCTCTAGCTTCAACAGCACAAAGTCTGTTTCGACTTTTAAGGCACCCCGGAAATAGCGGGTCGCAAGAGTGTGACAAACATACAAAAGAAGTAAAGGAAAACGACGAAAGTAACGATTAGGAAAGAGAAAGCAGCAGTTCCCTGTTGTAGTTCAGGCACAGTAATGAACATGGCATTGCTGAATCAGCCCATTTACAATTCTACTGTGCATAAGAACGAGAAACGCCCCCCTTTTGGGAATGGCCTAAAGACACTTCAGTCAGTGGCACCGCCCGGGGGGGGGGGGCGCTAAGGGGTTAATCATCATTTTAAAAACATAGTTTTGTTAAGAGTTTTACGGTAATTGCAACACAATTAGGTCATGTAAGTGCAAATAATGAGAGGTTTTTGTTTTAGAGAGAGTTTTACGGCACATACATACTGTTCAGTCAAATCAGTGCTGAAGATTATTAGAGGTGTTACAAACGAGAAATATACAAAATAAGACTTTTTAAAAAGTCTATTGAAATAGTTTCAGTAACGAGCTTTACGGCAATAGCAACAAAAAGAATTAGGTCATACACGTGCCGAAGGTTAGAGGTGTTACTATTAGAGATATAACAAAGAAAGAAACGAAGCAGGAGAAATAAGGAAAAAATTTTTCTCTTTCTTTTAAAGTTTTGCTAAGCGTCTTACGGTAAATAAATGGCAACACAATTAGGTCATGTAAGTGCGAAGGATTAGAGGTTTTTGTTTTATAGACAGTTTTACGGCACTTGCACACTGTTCGTCATACCAGTGCTGACGATTATTAGAGCTGTTACTAACGAGAAGTATACCAAAAAAACCCGGTTTAGTTCATTGAAATATTTCAGTAAAGAGCTTATGGCAATTACAACATAATTAGGTCAAACACGTGCCGAAGATTAGAGGTGTGACTACTAGAGATTAACATACAAAGAAAAGAAGGAGGAGACATAAAGACGACAAGTGTTTGAAAGGAAATTGTTTCATGTTTTAGTGGGTGTTTTACCGCAATTGCAACACTATACGGTCATTTAAGTGCCGAAGACTAGAGGTGTTACAAGAGAGTATCAAACACAAAAAAAGAAGAGGGAGATATTAATAACGACGATAAATGTTTAATAGGACAGAATGACCAAACCAAACCAAAGTACCCGTCAGCTTGTTTGGGATGAGTCATGCCTGAAATTCCCTTCTTTATTTATTATCTTTCTTTTACACGGTCTTACTAAGAGTTTTGCACCAACTGCAACACAATTGGGTCATATAAGTGCCAAACATTAGAGTAAGAGTTTTACGGCACGTGCATACCCTTCGGTCACATAAATGCTGAAGATTAGAGGTGTTGTTACTAACGAGTAACATATACACACTAAAAGGTTTAGTTTACTGAAATAGTTGTAGAGAAGAGCTTTACGGTAATTATTACACCACAATAATTGGGTCATGCACTTGCCATAGATTAGAGGTGTTATTACTAGAGACAAATAGATAGATAGATAGAGATAGAAACAGAAATTGAAAGGCAGACAGGCAGGCAGGCAGGCAGGCAGGCAGACAGACGACATAAAATTACTATACAGACAGAGCGCCAATGTCCAACACGGTAAAACAGAGGTCGTCCACCCCACTTACTGCTCTCTGATGTTCAGATTCCACAAAGCCACAGACCGGAGAGACCCAAAAACAGACAGACAGACAGACCAGACAGATAGATAGATAGATAGATAGACAGACAGACAGAAAGACAAACAGACAGACACAGAGAGACTGATAGATAGATA